CAAGATGAAGTGCAATAGCTTGAGCTCGAGCTCGAACACGACCCATGTTTCTAGTTATGGAAGTTTAGCAATGTTGGTCATTCAAGAAAGGAGAAAGAGTCCAAGGGAGGAAGCAAGCGACTCGATCACTATCACCTTGTTTCAAGTCACTATCTCAAAGTAATTGTTATAGACATCTCGTTCCGGATCACTATCACACTAATGCCTTGTTTTAAGTCACCATCACTCGGTAACTGTTCTAGACATCTCGTTTCGGGTCATTGTTACATTGATTTTTGTCCAATATGGGTTACATTTAAGTAACTCCATGGATTACTTGCTTCAAAATTTAGACACTACAAAACATTAATGGAATGATTCGACTAAAACCCTCTAGGTTTGATTTTAGAAATTTAAATAAGAAGTATTTTTAATTACATTTATATAATAATTTTAATATCACCTCTTTATTTTATCCATCATCTCTTTAGTTCACGATCAAGATCTGGTAGGTTTATTCTGACGATTTCTATCATTGAAATAGTTTTTCATCCTCCTACCAAAATAAAAAAGTCACTATGCTACCCTAAATACTCATCAAACAATTTCTTTAAACCTATAGAGATAAGGTTAGCAAAAAAAAAGGTTCGTGCATGGTCAAGTTCTTAAGGTATATTGTTAGAACAACTACAAGTTCTTAAAGTATATTATTAGAACAACTATGAATCTGTCTTTTTTCAGGAATTAGATAATCGTCCCTTCTGAGCTCACATACACAGAATCACAGCTGATTAATGATGTCGGATGACTTCGTTTTAAAGCAAAGAAATCCACTGATTCATATTTTTCACATAATCACATCTCTCACATTCATACTTAGCCGAAAGCCCATTTCAAAGCACTGAAAATTATTTCCCATTTTTTTAACGTTAAATCAAAAGACATTCCGCCAATTCCATCAATTCCTACAATGGGCTTCGTGTTTCACACACTATCACCACCAAAATCTCTCCTCTAAACCCTTCATTTCCAAAACCTCTATATGAAAAGATCTCTAACAATCACTTCCAGGTTCATCTTCCCAATTCAACCCCATCTCTCAATACCCATTTCATGTTCTAAATCGATCTCAAACCAAAACCCCATTTCCGCACAGTTCAACAGTTCCAATTCCTTCCGAGTTGCATGATGTCTAGCCATGGCGCTGGATTCTCCCTCGTTTTTTTGCTGTTTCTCGCCGTTTTAGCGGCTGAGCATGAACTAAATTTCAATCAAGTGAGTTCCCTTTTGACCATTTCCTTTAATTCATCGATCCCATTTTCATTTTCTGAGTTCAATTTGATGAACGTTTTTTATTTTGTTGTTCATCAGCCAAATGGGTCTGTATCAGAGATGGTGCCACTGATTGAGGAGGGGAAAATTAATATCATGGAGATGAATGAAACTAGAAGAATACTCGGAAGCTTTCAAGTATGTGCTCCTTGTACTTGCTGTGGAGGTGCTAAGGGCCTCTGTTTACCTTCTCCTTGTTGCTATGCAATCAATTGCAATATCCCCAACAGGCCATTTGGGTTCTGTTCTTTCACTCCCAAATCCTGTAATTGCTTTGGGTGCAATATCTAGCCTATATATTATGCATGAATATGATGTTATTCCTTAGATTTTAGGGTCATTTATCATCTGTGTTGCTCTGTTCTTGAAAGGAAAGGATTGATTTGAAGGAATCTCTCCGGAAATTTTTCTTGTTTATAGTTTTAATGGAATTATGTCTCCCAAATCCTCTTAGTTCCAGGTTTTATCTTAGAAAGTGGCCGTTCCTGAAGATAGGATTGTGAGGTTGATTACCATTTTTTTCTTCTCTTTTTGCTGTTCTTTAGGAAATATGCTTTCATTTGATAATGGAGCTGTTGCTGCCGTTTGTTGAGTATGTTTAGATGGTAAATGATATGGGAAAGCCTTGGAATTGTAAGATGATGTATAGAGTTTCATGAAGTGAGTTATGTTTGTTCTTATTGTAAAAATTGTTGGCTTATTCAAGTATTCATGTTACTTTTCATTGTATATTTGTTTGATGGTTGATTCATCCCTCTTTGTGTGTTGCTTACTTGATTAACTTAGAGTGTTCCCGATCACATTGCCCTTGAAGTTTTCTTGCTTTCATTAATATTGTCCTCTTTGGGATTCCCTTTAAGGTTTTAAAACGCGTCTACTAGGGAAAGGTTTCCACACCCATATAAAGAATGCTTCGTTCCCCTCTCCAATCGACATGGGATCTCACATTCCACCCCCTTTCGAGGCTCAGTGTCCTCGCTGGTACTCGTTCCGCTCTCCAATCGATGTGGGATCTCAGAACCCATTTCCTTCGAGGCCCAGCGTCCTCACTGGCACTCTTTTCCCTCTCCAATCGATGTGGGATCTCAGAACCCACCCCCTTCGAGGCCCAGCGTCCTCGTTGGCATTCGTTTCCCTCTCCAATCGATGTGGGGTCGCACAATCCACTCTTTACGGGGCCCAGCGTCCTAATAAAGAACAAAGAAACACTAGTAGTCAAGGTTTGATAAGACAACCAATTAACTCCTCTCCTTTTCTTCAACAATGGAATAAGAATAGGCTTCTTTTGTTTTGTGTATATCCAAATCTTTTATTTGGTGAGGGCCGAGTTAAGGGGATGGAAGAGTTAGAGTGGTATAACTTCATTAAGATGTGTGGAACTATTCTATAGTTTCGAGAGTAAAAGCTATCGTATTCGTCATCTGTTTCTTAATTTGTTCGGTGTCTGCTTCGGGACTCATAGCGTTGAGCATTCAAAATATGTCAAAATGAGGTGCCTAGAGAAGAGTGTTTTGAAGAATCTAATTCACCTCTGTCTTTGATGCAACACCCCATGTGATACCTTGAGGACATCTAACTATTAACTTGTTTCCCTTATTTTATTTTCTGCCCTTTGGACCCTTTTTTGTTGAACTACTACGTTCATACGTACATACGTATACGATATTTACCTGTGTACATACACACATCCACACGTATACGATATTTGGTATCAACTTGGTACGTAGTTGATAATTACACTATGCCTTTTGACTATGTATGAGATCCCACGTCGGTTCGAGAGGGGAATGAAACATTCCTTATAAGAGTGTGGAAACCTCTCCTTAGGAGATGCATTTTAAAACTGTGAGGCTGATGACGCTATGTAATAGGCCAAAGTGAACAATATTTGTTAGCTGTGGGCTTGGGCTGTTACATCGCATTACTCCTCTTTCTAGATTCTAGTTTGGTTTTTCTTTTTCAAGTCGTTGAGCATGATTCACTCGACCCTTTTGAGCAATTTTTGGTTATTTATTGTGCTTACTCTCTCCATGTCCAAAACCTTGTACATGAGTCTGTCACTGTTCTTTTCTAGACCTGTGAATGAAAAACGAACACGAGGGAGGACACATTAAACAACCCCTCCCCCGACTCGAGTTCGAGAGAGTGAGAATAGAAAAACCATTAAAGAAAATGTAATGAGAGGCTTTACTGATTTGAGTTTCGAATTCTCTGCTCTAGTTTTTTTCTTCTTTGTTCTATCTATCAACTTCAGGACGCGGGTCCATAGATATTGATTCGTTTATTCTATTCTCTAAAGCAACAGAGTATACACAGAAAACCGTCGCATCCAACACAGGTCTAACGCTTATCTTATTTGTTTTTAACAAGCATTTGGTACTGTCTAGTATACTTAACAAGTGTTTGACTGACATGAGCCAAACACGAACAGGCCGCCCAAACTAAAGCGTCCATGGTTCGTGGCTCGTGGCTCTTCGATATGCTTTTGAAAAAGCGAAAGCAATCCAATGGATGACTTATTGCCTTCTTTCTTGAAGATGAGTTAAAATATTTGATAGTTGCCAGTGTTGAAGCTCCTGTAGTTTCTAAGTTTCTGCACTTTAAAATGGACAGAAGAATCCTTTTAAAATTCAAATTTGTAGCCATTCATCTCTTTTGACAATGGGAGTGGGAACCAGTTGTAAAGGGCCCAAAAGGAATAAATTTGAATTTGAAGGGTAAAAAAGGAATACGAAGTAATAATAATTTTTTAAAAAGGGTTTGTCATTGTGTGTTCATAAAAACTAATATATATGACCTAAGGTTGATATTTGATATGAGATTATACGTTATGTCTAATAGAAACCTAAACTTTCAATTTTGTATTGAAAAGATCGTGTCCAAACTGATTGCTCAAAATCAAATCGGATAAAATGGTAAGATTTGAAGTATATATTTGAGAAGTGATATTTGTGAGGTCCATTGTACTTTTGCTTTTGACCCCGGAAGAGCTAGTCCTTATAAGATATCACCTCCCCCACAAAAAGCTATTCCACAAAGGAATACCAGATCGTATCTGCTTTTGGGCCATGGCAATCTCACTACCTCTTACTCTACCATTATTGTAGGGTTTAGGGTTCGAGACAGAGAAAGATAAAGGCAACATCTCGTCGTTTCTTGAAAGTATCTTTTTTCTAGGAACAAGGCTATCAACAATGGTAGCAAGTTTCTCGTTGAATATGCCTCTAATCCCTAAAGAGCACGAGACACAAACTTATAATATGTAGGGACGAAGTTTCTTTAGAAAAATAGTTTGTGATAGGATGTTCGAACTTCAATGCACTTTAAAGCAGCTTCTAAATGAGCTCTCATTTCGAAGTTATTTTGTAATTATCCTCGGCTCTGTTACCCGTTTTTCGTGTTCATTAAAGTTGGTTTCTTATGATAAAAAAATAAAAGGGAACCAAAATATAGATATCATAATTTGAGAGAATATTTTGTTTCTCTACTCTAAATTCATAAACAAAAGTTGGTTTCTCCTGTTGTCTTTCAATGTTTTCCCAATACAACTCCAAATAGTATACCACAAGCACTTAGAACATATTTCAACATAAGTTGAAACTTCACAGCATTTTAAATACAGAAAAGCACAACAAGATTAGAATTCGTACCCGAGATTTCACGTAGAGATCTCCGCTGCATACTTTGCTGATACACGATCATTCCTTTCCCTCGTCATCCTTGAATACCAATGGCATGTACGTTGCCATGTTCTCAACTTCAACGACAACGTACATTGTTACAAGATCATTCCATTTCGTCAAACGATTGTATTATCATGTGTTATCCTCTACTGTCTCTGGGTACGGATCTTGCCAGCACTCGTCTTGCTTAGCAGCCTTCTGCCATCTCTTTCTAAATACATCTAGTTCAATATACGACTGCCTTCTTACCTGCACGGATGAATTTGAATTCAAGGGAAATAAACATAGACTCGACGTTGTTTTAAACATCGCAATGATAAGCCGAAAAGGGTTATTTGATCAGATTCTCCGAGTTATCAAAGGTTCATTAGCACGAACAAGGTAGACTAGACTCCATCGAAACAACTGAAAGCGAGCACATGTGTGGAAACTTACATCGGCTCTATGATCCTTTACATGAGACTTGGAAGATGTCTGCAACATAGAAACCTTTTGTGATTTGATGTTCGTGAGGCTTAAGAAAGATGAAAAAAAACTATCATATTTTCAACCTCATTTTCCTCTGGACCACCGAGTGTCGGTCGTCCATAATGGATTATGTACTCGGCGTCAACGACACCAACGTTCTTCGTTCGATCACCCTATTAGGGAAGAGCTTGACGTTTCAAACAACAGTAGCGAAGTATTGAAGGAAAACAAGATGACTGCTAACTCTTGCCTGTGCACAATATCCCAGTTGCATATCCAAGCCCCAATCATGGATCAAATCATTCTGGATCATATACCAAACACAACGCCACGCAGCTCGGGAGAAAACCGGGGCCATCATTTCTATCCATCTGCAACAAAAGATATCAATTTTCAGGCACAATCACTTTGTACTTCAGCACATGTCTAGAACAGCTGTCTAAGCATAGAGCTTTCGATAATTGCCTTACCCTGTGCATGGAGGAGCTTTACTGTTGACATCACAATCTTTTCCACCATTACTATGTTTAAAAGTTCTCCTGCAGGAGTGACCGACCAAAGACAGAACATACAACGGTAACAACTGATGAAACCACATAAAACATAGATCAAAATGTCAATGATTGATGACTCTGTCTCCACATTAAGAATGTAGTAGAGCTGACAAAGGTAACAAACAGATCTGGTCAAGACTGCCAAGTCCCATCATACCCTAATTATATAATATTATTGATCTTTAAGCGGATCCCCAGGAACTGTCCAATTCCCAGAGAAAACATGTCATGAGTTATTGGTTCATCGAGTTACTGCACTATCTTGTTGAGGATTATTGGGAGAGGAGTCCCATATCGACTATAGGGGGTTGATCATGGGTTTATAAGTAAGGAATACATCTCCATTGGTATGACGCTTTTTGGAAAACCAAAAGCAAAGCCATGAGAGCTTATGCTCAAAGTGGACAATATCATACCATTGTGGAGATCCATGATTCCTAACATGGTATCAAAGCGATGTCAAGGGAATCCTCAAATGTCAAACGAAGAAGTTGTGAGCCTCGAAGGTGTAGTCAAAAGTGACTAAAGTGTCGAACAAAAGATCTACTTTGTTAGAGGGTTTCAGAGAAGGAGTTGAGCCGCGATTAAGGGTAGGATGTTCAAAGGCTCCATAGGCTTCAAGAGAGGCTCTATGGTATACTTTGTTCGAGGGGAGGATTGTTGAGCATTGTTGGAAGTTCCACATCGACTAATTAGGGGGTTGATCATGAGTTTATAAGTAAAGAATGCATCTCCATTTGTATGAGAGTTTATGCTCAAAGGGGACAATATCATACCATCGTGGAGGTCTGTGATTCCTAACATATCCATTACTTCATCAGTTACCTAGTAAAGAAGCTAAGAGAATCTTGCTCTCATGAATATTCATACAAATTGGTTAATACGAAACAAGTGTAGGGGAAGACCTGTGCACGGTCGATCGCCTCCCACGGGCAGTAATTTGATGGTGCACCTCTGATTCATATGGATCAAGTGCTGGTTGCGATATTTCTAGCCCTTCACTTTCAATAATATGCACATACCTTGTAATGAAACAGGGAGAAAAATAATGAAGCTGGTCGGAAGCCATTTATCACGTTCTTAGCTTCGTTTCTTATCAACAAAATTGCAGCCAACTTACTGTTTTGGATTGAAATACTCAACTCCAAGATCCTCATCCCAAAGAAAGATATAATTATACTCAGCCACAATATCAGGATGCAAGAAACGCTTGGCAAACCACCTAGACATTACCAGTTCAAGAACAGATCAAGAATGTGAAACAAAGTTAAAGTCAGCAACTTCCAAAAATAGAGTGAACAAAATCTACCATTTAGTTTGATTGATCGCAGTTACATGTATTACACGATTACTCCAATCGAAGTCCTTCCACTCGTCCACGATACCATCGTAATGGAAAAGCATCACAGCAAAGTCACTAGAAAGGAACTGTAGAATGATCATGAAATAAGTACTATTAATGGACATGAGATTTGAATTTGGCAATATGATTATACTCTTCTTCATACCTTTGTTACCATTTTGTTCACAAGATCTTTTTGTTTAATCCCAACAGCCGTAGCGAACAAGTTGCTTGATGAGTTAACGGGATTCTGTTTCGAGCTATGCACACAATCAGTAGAAGTACTAAGATAAGAGAATCAACAAGCACAAGCATGAAGTCGTTGATCTTGATCCGTGACCTGATAAGAATGCTTCGATGCGCCCCATAGCGGTCGCATTTCCAAGTTAGATGCAGTGACAACAATGTCTTTAGGTAGCGGTTCGCTTCCATTTGGCCTACATTGATTCTAATGCAAAAATCATTTGAGTAATGTATAGTTAATAAGGTCGATACGAAAAATGAGTTCATTCTCGTAATAATGGTTGAAATAGCAAACGAACCTCACATTTATTGAACTTTGAACTGACTAAACCATCTATTCCCCATCTAGGAATTCTCTGCAGAGAAAGAACCTAACATATTATTCTAGATGTTCAATGAGAAGATATCCATTCACTCATGAAGTGTCACAAAATACGTTTGATTAAAAATGAAATCTGTTGCAAATGCCACCAAACATTGAATGGAGGTTGGAGAAGTGCTACAACTAAGAAATATAAGTTGAAAAGTCCTCTGTAAACAAACTGATATAGTAATTAGCTCAACCCCACTACTCTACAAGAAGATCGTGCACCTGTCCCCAATGGAAGAATGAGTGATATGTTTCCCTACAGATCACGGCCTTACCACTCGGTCCTCGATGGGCAGCAGGGGATGCAGTATAGCAGCTCATGTTTGGTTACGCTGTACGTTCCCGCTGGAACGTGTTAGCTGTAGGAAGCAACAACAGACAACTACCCGTAGGGGGTTTATTGCACAAGGCCCCCGCAGAGGAAAAGAACCATATTTAACTTATTAAGTTTAATTAGCTCAACCCCACTACTTTACAATAAGCTTCGCCCATTTTAAAGATTGTGCACCTGTCCCCAATGGAAGAATGAGTAATATGTTCCCCTACGGATTATGACCTTACCACTCGGTCCTCGATGGGTAGTGGGGGATTCGGTATAGCAGCTCACGTTCGGTTACGCTGCGCGTTCCCGCTGGAACGTGTTAGCTATAGGAAGCAACGACGGACAACCGCCCGTCGGGGGTTTACTACAGAAGGCCCTCGCAGAGGAAAAGAACCAGATTTAACTTATTAAGTTTTCGATGACGTAAATCGAAGACTTTGAAGGGTATCTCCAAACATCTCGAGCCCTGGCCACCAAGACACTCTTTGATGCCACAACTCTGCGAGAGACTTTGCCCACCCTAAAGCCAACTTCAAGAGATCGTGTACCTGTCCTTTATGGAAGAATGAGTGATCTGTTCCTCCGCGGATCATGGCCTTACCACTCAGTCCCCAATGGGCAGCAAGGGATTTGGTAATAGCAGCTCACGTTCGGTTGCACTGAGCATTGCCGCTGGATACGTGTTAGCTGTAGGAAGTAACTACGGATGACCGCCCGTAGGGGGTTTATTGCACAAGGATTAAGTTTTCAATGACTTATATCGAAAACTTTGAAGAGTATCTCCTAACATCTCGAGCCCTGACCACCAAGACACTCTTTGATACCACTACTCTACAAGAGACTTTGCCCATCCTAAAGTGAACTTCAAGAGATACTCAGGATTTAACTTATTAATCTTTCAACGACTTATAAATTCCATGACCTTGAAAGGGAATCTCCAAACACTCGAGACTTGACCAACAAGGCAACCCTTGGTGCCACAATGATAATTGGTAACAAAACAACGTAAAAACCCAATACTTAATTCATAGGGACAGCAACCAACACTTCAAAATCTTCAAAGAGCATGAAAGCATACCTCCCTGTAGTCTGGTGCTACATATGCACTCCCCACAAACAATACAAGACAAAGCAAAGAAGCAATTGGAAAAATTCTACAAAGACGTGAATTCCTGCTCTTTTGCTCTGCAAGCAAGGGCAACTGCAAAGAAAACAACTCAAAATAAGCAATGAAACAAAACCATGTCCATTAAGACAGATGCAAGCACCTTAAACCCCACGAAAACCGTGTCCATAAAGACCGATACAAGCACCTTAAACCCCACAAAGAAAAGGGTATAATTAATCTTCAGTAAAGATGCATATTAAACAACACCCATCGTTTCTGAACTGTTGGATTCAAACACACCAAAAAGACCCCAAATCAAACCAAACAGGCGGTAAGAACCCATTACATTACGCAAAAAATAGAAGTTCATTCGGAGGAAAAAGATTAGAAAAGAAGAAGAAGAGGGGTGCTTACACAACCAGAAAACTTCATGTTTCCATGAAATTCCAGAAGATTGTTGGTAAAAGAGGCAAAAAGACTGCCCAAATTTCAATACCCAACAACGTTCACCGTAAAACACTCGGCAACAACATCCAAAATACCGCCCTCCTAGTGAAATGAATTTAAAAGCAGACGTGGGAGAGAAGAAAAGTCTTTAGAGAGAGAAAGAGAGCACTTTCACAGAGGAACGAAAGAGATCCTTCTGTTTTCTTTTTTTCCCCCTTCTTGAAATGGCATTACGGAAGAACAGAGGCAGCCCAATTTACAAGGGGTAGTGTTAATTACACAAAAGGAAGGTTTTCTCCAAAAGAAAACCCAAAAATCTCAAGTTTTTAAGATGGGCCTTCCCTAATTTTTCATTTTCGATTAATTTTGATAAAGTTTTATTAATACTTTTAAATACTCTTAAACTAGTTAGTATATAAACGGAAATAGTTTATTTACACCTTGTCACCTCGATCATCTCCACTTTCACTGTCTCTGCCTTCTTCTTCACCTGATCGACGCTCATTCCGACAAATGGCTAGTCGGCGGCCGTGGCTTCAACAATAGTTTAAGGTGAGCTTCTCGTGTCTGGTCTAGTTTGTGATGCTTTTTTTTGGTGTTTTGAGTGTAACCCACGAATTTCTTAGGTCCCATTATAGTGTATGGGCATTTGATCGACAGTGGTGAGCCTGCTGAAGTCGACCCATCAAAGGTTCAAAACCTGCAAGGTAAGGATAGGTGATTAAGTTCGTTACAACTATGTCTGGACTGTTTAGTAAATGTTGAGATTTGAACCTCTTGACTTGTGAAACTGTTCTCTCTTGTTCTAATTTCTAGAGCATGTTCTTTTTGGTGGGTTTGCTTTAATTCTGGGTTATCTAGTGCTGCTTCGATGAATTGGGTCTTGTATTCCTCTCGAATGCCATAGTTTTCCGATTATAGCTTATGCTTCACCTTCATTGTAATGGATTTGTTTCATGATTTTATTATATACCCATCTGGTCTGGCTTAAGTTGTGAGTTTTTCTTCCAATTATATGTATTAGTGAACTGAAAATGGTACTAATTCATCTGTATTTGTCATGTTCTATACAAGCTATTGGCAAACTACGCTTAGATGAACGTGGGTTGTTCATCTGTTCTGGCTGATTGCAGTTATCAAATGTGATGGAAAGTACCATTGAAATCTTCTGGACTACCGTATTTGAATGATGATTCTAGGAAGTTCACTTATGCCTTCACTTGTTAAGATTTCTCCCTTCTTTTCATACTTCACTAGAACTCCATGGACATCTCCCCGCCGGAATACTCTTCGAGCTAGCCTCGAAGTCTATGGCTGTTGATCTGCCGTATATTCAAAAAGTATAGTGAAATATAGTACTGTTGCTTTATCTTCCATATCATCTGTTCATGAAACCTCAGCATCTTCTACCAATAACGTCTCCAAAAGATCAAGGAAGAGAGCCCTCATGAAATTACCCGAGGGAATGCTTAAACATAAGTTAGATATGTGCTCGAGGCATGGACAAGTTGTCGAAGCACTTAAGCTTTATGACGAGGCAAAGAGTAATGGAATCCAGCTTAACCAACATCACTATAATGTATTGCTCCATTTGTGCTCTTCTTGTAGTTCTCTTGAACCAAGTGAGGATATTGACAGACTAAGCGTGGGCCTCGACCGGGGTTTAGAGATTTTTCAACAAATGATGATCGATAAAGTATCCCCAAATGAGGCTATATTTACTAGTGTTTGCAAGAATTGCAGCTGCAAGAGATGATCCAGAAATGGCATTTTCTTTGGTGAAGCAGATGGAGGATTATGATATTGTGCCAAAATTGAGGTCATATGGACCAGCACTGTTTGGCTTCTGTAGGAAGCTAATGGTAAAAGAAGCTTACGAAGTTGATTCCCACATGGTTGCGTCTATGGTGAAGGCCGAAGAACCTGAACTTTCTGCACTTCTAAAACTCAGTTCTGATGTGAAGAAGACTGATAAGGTCTACGAGTTGCTTCATCGGTTAAGAAGAACGGTGCGGCAGATCGCTGAGCCTACTGCCAAAGTTATTGAAGATTGGTTTAATTCTGCAAGTGCTGCTGAAGTTGGGAAGAAGGCTAGGGAAGGAATGGCTAGACAAGGTGGAGGATGGCATGGACAGGGTTGGCTGGGTAGTGGTAATTGGAGGCTGATGAGAACTCAGGTGGACGATAAGGGCGTTTGTCGTTCATGTGCTCGGAAACTTGTTTGCATTGATATTGATCCAAAAGAAGCTGAAAACTTTGCTGCCTCATTGACCAAGGTGGCTTGCCAAATAGAAGATAAAGCTGGGTTTAATAAATTCCAGGTATGATAGTTTCTTCTTTCAAACCCATATTCAATGATTAGAAGTCTTGATTGTTCATGGAGGGAATAATTTAACATATGTGTCTATTAGGATGGATATTGTCCGCTTTAGCCGGTTATGTAATGTCATCCGTCTTACGGTTTTAAAACGCATCTACTAGAGAGAGGTTTTCAAACCCATATTCAATGATTAGAAGTCTTGAATGTTTCGCTCCCCTCTCTAATCAATGTGAGATCTCACAATCCACTCCCCTTGGGGGCATAGCGTCCTTGGGGGCACACCGCCCGATGTCTGGCTCTGATACCATACACACCAAGCCTACCGCTAGCAGATATTGTCCGCTTTGGCCCGTAACGTATCACCGTCAGCCTCACAGCTTTAAAACGCGTCTACTAAGGAGAGGTTTCCACACCTTTATAAGGAATGCTTCGTTCTCTTCTCTAATCGATGTGGGATCTCACAATCCACCCCCCCTTGAGAGCCTAGCGTCCTTGCTGGCACACCGCCCGGTGTCTGACTCTGATACCATTTGTAACAGTCCAAGCCCACCGCTAGCAGATACTGTCCACTTTGACCCGTTATGTATCGCCCTCAACCTCATGATTTTAAAATGCATCTACTAGGGAGAGGTTTCCACGCCCTTAAAAGGAATGCTTTGTTCCCCTCTTCAACCGATGTGGGATCTCACACAGATACACGCGTGATTAAAATGAAATCAACTTTCAAATCCATGAGAAGTCTAATAGAAATGTCTATGGTAGATTCTTCTTATATCTTCTGTTAATTTATTTTGGACAAAACTCTTACTAGTTTTGAAGGTGAAATAATTCAGGACTGGTTAGAAACACATGGTCCTTTTGATGCTGTAATTGATGGTGCCAATGTGGATCTTATTAATCAACGTCATTTCAGCTTTAACCAGGTGATATATCTTGATATCTATTCAATAAGTTCATACATAATGAGTATCTTAGAGAGAGTGCTTTTTTTCTCTGTGTTTGTTGTGATGAGCAATGAATGCTATCTTCTAATTGCAGCTTGAAAGGATTGTATATCAAATGCATCAGCTTAGTCCTTCAAAGAGATTGCCACTCATAATTTTGCATGAAAATCGTGTCACTGGAAGGTCTGCACAGAACCTTAATAATAAGAAATTAATAGAGACATGGACAAATTGCGGTGCTCTCTATGCTACTCCTCCTGGGTCCCATGATGACTGGAATGCATCTTTCTTTCAATAATCGAGTTATTTACTTGAATATTTGAACACATTTCAAGGTTTCACTAATAGTATGAGCTCAAGTTCTTTGTTAGTTTCTGTGCATATCATTGAAAAGCTCAGTTGCGTACCCTTGTGTATAGTTGCATCATTATTGTTATTTTAATTCTTGTTTTCAATTGAATAGGTAATTCCATGGCTTTATTTTAAAAGAATTTATTATGAACTTCCGCATACGTTTAAAGCATGCATGTGGTGATGTCGCTAATTTAGACAAGAAAGTTTGGAGCGTTACAGTTGGTAATAGAGCCAAACATCGGGCGGTGTGCCAACAAGGGCACTAAGCTCTGAAGGGGGGTGAGCGGTGTGCTAACAAGAATGTTGAGTCCTGACGGGGGATGAGCGGTGTGCTAACAAGGACGCTGAGCCCTAAAGTGGGTGGATACTGGGCAGTGTGCCAACAAGGGCACGGAGCACTAAAGTGGATACCAAGCAGTGTGCCTGCGAGGGGAACGAATGGGTATCCTCCCCCCTTCAATTTGAGAGAGGAACGAGTGCCTGCGAGGACGCTAAGCCCCGAAGGAGGGTGGATTGTGAGATACCACATCGGTTGGAGAGGGGAACGAAGCATTCTTTATAAGAGTGTGGAAACATCTCCCTAGCAAACACGTTTTAAAAACCTTGAGAGGAAGTCCGAAAGGGAAAGTCCAAAAAGGACAATATTTGCTAGTGGTGGGCTACGAAAACTGTGGGCTGATAGACATCTTCAAATTCGATGCCTAAAGGGGATTCATGGGTATTCTTTGGCTGCTACAGGTACTGGTTATACGCTCTGCTGTACGGTCTAAATGTTTGCTGGTGACGAATGATGAAATGAGGGATCTCTCTTGGGAACAGCTTTTTCCCACAGTGGAAGGAAAAGCATCAGGTATCTCCCTCATTATCTTCTCCTGAAAATCGACGTTATATGAATAGTTTGCATTTTGTAAATTTGAGTTCTATTCATACCAACATCAATATTTTCATTTTCATTCTCAGAGTATAATCAACCAACATCGTTATAACACTCCACCGAGTGATTTACAGGTTCGGTTGTCGGTATCAACAGATGGACTAAGACTCCACATGCCCCCCTCTTATTCAGCTGTGATTCAGGTGAGATGATTGACATGTCGAATCGTTAATTATCTAGTGAAAGCGCGAATATGACGTTCACTTTTGACGAATGTTGAGCATATTCCAGGAAGGTGAAGATGGAAGCTGGCACATTCCAACAATTACAGGTGATGATGTTGATACCCCAAAACAATGGTTATGTGCCACCAGAGCCGCTGATGCTTCTTAACTGCTTTTGATTCAATGAAACAGTGGAAGGATATGCTCTTTGAAGCACATTTATTTATCTTTTCAAATTAATAATGTGATTCAAAACCAATTGCACGGAGAATAATATCTAACCAGTATATTATTAAAACAAAGGAAACAGAATTACAGAAATGTGTAGAATATAGGAACTAAATTTTGTTGCCTCCAAAGATATAGGAATGGTGCTATGTCTAATCTAAAAGTACATGATCGTTAGCGTGCCTGCTAATACTTAATCGGACCGTCCAAGCTTCCCGATGCGAACTGAAAACAAGAACAAAAACATGACAAGAATTATATTAGACAAATACTTTTATTTCCCCAAAAGTATACCAGAGAAGAAAACTGTCCTCTCTTGCATTTCAATCATTCGTATACCAAATAGTGTGAGTACATACATCCATATAATTCATGTTATTAAGAAACCGATCTTCCATTAGAAAAAACAAAGAATGAGGCGGACACAGAAAAGGAGTCCACCCACTAGCTATAGAATAGGATTTTAATTCGAAAGAATCAAACTATCAGAGATAGTGTACACACATTACACATTTGAGGAAGGATAAATCGGGGAATTAGTAAGAAATGGTTAGAATTGTATAAAGTGCGAACTGTTTTGCAGGGGTTTTGGGCATCTAGCTTTGTAATAACCCAAGCCTATCCCGCTAATAGATATTGTCCTCTTTGGACTTTCCCTTCTGGGCTTCCCCTCCGGGTTATAAAACGCGTTTGCTAGGGAAAGGTTTCCACACCCTTATAAGGAATGCTTCGTTCCCCTCTCCAACCAATGTGGGATCTCAAAATCCAACCCCTTGGGGGCTCAGCGACATTACTGGCACTCTGCTCAATGTTTGTCTCTAATACTATTTGTAACCACTCAAGCCCACCACTAGTAAATATTGTCCTCTTTAGACTATCTCTTCTAGAATTCCCCTCAAGGTCAAGGTTTTAACATGCATCTTTTGGGGAGAGGTTTTCACACCCTTATAAAGAATGCTTCATTCCCCTCTCCAACCAATGTGGGATCGCACAATCCACCCTCCTTGGGGGACCTGCATCCTTGCTAGCACACTGCCCAGTGTCTAGCTCTGATACCATTTGTAACTACTCAATCTCACCGCTAACAGATATTGTCCGCTTTAACCCATTACGTATTGGCGTCAATCTCATGGTTTTAAAACGCGTCTACTAGGGAGAGGTTTCCACACTCTTATAAGGAAAGTTTTGTTCCCCTCTCTAAAAGATGTGGGATCTCACAAGCTTAGTGTGTAAAAGCTTAGTGTGTAAAATTTTGTGCATGATTGGTCTAGGAGGAGAGGTTCTAGCTCTCTCAATTAGCTCGTGGTTTCGGTTACCTAACATAAACCAAGCCTTAAGGACGCATTAAGCCTAACAACCTCTAAGATACCCTCCTACAATCTCTCAACCTCCCTACAATTTCTACTATTTCTGGCCAGCCAATTTCCCAATAATACAACAAAGAAACAAGCTTGCCAAAAAACTATGCTCGTCCTAAAACAGGGGATTATGGAGCACTTCATCGAACGTAGCATCGCAACCCTTGCCTCGAGCCAAACATTACCCGTACGAACTTAAGCAATTACCCCACAAAGTATGAGCCAACTGGCACCCCACGACAAGTGTTCAATATCTTCATCGTGCCTCCACGTAGAGTGCACCACTGCAAGCCTAAGACCTAACGAGATGGTCTCAGAATACGGTCCGAGGTATTAATTCCCATTCATCTAACCCTCATGTACCTTGAAATGCCTAGGCAGCTAAAAGAATACAGCAAGTGGTTACCCTAAAATATGTAGCTTATATTTCAAACAACTCCTTAAGCTATACTCATTAGTTTGGCACTCAACGACCAAGTTAAAAGGATTATGACAGCAATTCTTGCCACAAACATCACATCAACATCGTCGAAACGTCTAAAAATACGCTTATTTTCTTTACCTGTTGAACGATTGGATTTGTCGATGTTGTAAATTCATCGGTCATTCCTTGCCAGACAACCTTTCCCTCATATAAAAACAACAACCTACAAAATATCAAATTTTGTTCTTTCAGGGACATGCTAGCAATATCATTTATACCTTATAAGCAGCAAGAGCTCATAAAACAGCAATTAAAATTGTAACCTGTCAACGGCTCTCCTAATGGTACTATGTTGGTGGGTGACTGCAATATAAGATGCAATTTTGCCAGGCTTCCCACGAGCATCCTCACCCTTAATATGTACAGAACGTATAAGATCTTCAACAACAGTTGATGCAATTGGGTCGAGTCCAGCAGTTGGTTCATCATACAAGAGTACCTGTTTACATGAGCAATCACAGTCGGTGTCAATGGCCATGAAACAAGGTGCCATTACTGTAGTCATCTAAAGTGAATCGAACAGTCAACAAGGCAGCCATACAGCTCGTAAGCAATGGCAAATAATCACTCGTGTCATGAAAAAAGTTATTTTAGTCGATCAAATAGTTCATTAAAAAAAAGGTCCAATTAATACCCAGTAACTAATTGCAGTTGCGAGTTCGTGATGATTTTTGAAAACGTAAGCGAAGTGCTTTCAAAAGTTGCAAAGTTGCCCAAGATTTTTCATTAAGGTTTCAAAACTACTCTTGGAGTAAAAAATTGTTACAATGTTGGACAGAAAATAAACGTAACGACGACCTAGAACGACATGGTGACAACTAGAATGCTTGCTTAGATAAGTTTGAAAGGACATTCAGACATATTGACTTTTGTCCAACATTCTATTGGCTTTTCTTCTCCGATAGTAATTTTCAAAAACAAAAAAACCAAATGGTTATGAAACGGAGCCTTTAATAATAATCTAACCGTACAGAAATAACGGAGATACCTCTGGCTCAATTTCTTTCCTTGTGTTATCAAAAATTATAGACCGAGCTAAAGCAACTCGTTTCTTCATTCCACCTGATAATTCGGAAGGTAACCGATCCTCAACTCCCTAACAAAATAAAAGTTTAACATACGAAATATCAGAAAATTTTGAAGCACTGCCTAAAATGAGACAAATTGGAGATTTGAGAAGATGGCTATCATATAAATAAATGCTAGGCAAACCTTCAGCCCAACAGCTGCCAAGTTCTCAGTTACCAATGCTGAAATTTGATCTTCAGACAAGCTTGAATTTTCATACCTAAGCAGTAAACAAAAGTAAAAATGAGATAATACTGAAATCTTTATACAGGTTAAGTTCATGGTATAATATAACGAAAATTGTGAACGAGATTTTTTTTTAAGAAATTAGTCTCTTACAAAAGGAAACCAACATTTTGCCGCACGGTTAACGAGTCAAAAAGTGCTGCACTCTGAAAAACCTACAGCCAGAGAGAAATGAAAGGATGAACAGTTTAAGGATTAAAAAGAAACTCAATGGCTCATATGATTTGTTATACAGAAACAAGTTTCTAGAATCATGAAAAACAAGGAATTTAAAATCTAGAATTGTTAAATCACAATGGAATTTAAGAACTTAACTTGATAGGGATACAATAAATTTACTTAACATCAATAATTTCTGCACCCTTGTAAGGAATGCTTTGTTCTCCTCTCCAATCGATGTGGGATCTCACAATCCACCCCCTTGGGGACCCAGAGTCCTTGCTAGCACACCGCCTGGTGTCTGGCTCTAATACCATTTGTAACAGCCCAAGTCCTCTGCTAGCAGATACTGCCCTCTTTGGACTTTCCCTCAAGGTTTTAAAACGCGTCTGCTTGAGAGAGATTCTCGCACCCTTATAAAGAATGTTTTGTTTCCCTCTCCAATTGATCTGGGATCTCACAATTTCATACTTCTATAAAAAGTCATTTTTCAAATAATTTCTAGAATTATATGCAACTTAAAAGAAAATTCTAACCAATCCAATTCGAAGACCAGATAGCTCCTCATCATCAATCAAACCAACTCGCTTTCTACCTCGAATATATACCTCTCCCTGTTCACAAAACCAGAAATCCAATAAGGGTAATCATATATATGGAAACCTGGAATATGCATACAACTAAAACATCAGCAAAATACAATGTGAAATCAAAGACGATTTTTTACCTTGTCTGGAGAAAGAAGACCTGCAATGATCTTTAGTATTGTTGATTTCCCAGTACCAGAAGGCCCAATAACTCCCACAGCTTCTCCATGTCTAATCTATACAAATAAAAATAAGAGAGGAAGTAAAATATTTTAAAAGATAATTAAAATTACTAAATATAAAAAACGGAGTTAGCCGAGTGAAGAGCTGTGAGAATATCGATGCAGGGTGATTAGTGTTCTTCTTCTGTAATGTTGCAAATGAAGGAAGAATAAATGAGACCAAGCTATGAAACAGTACAACAACAGAGACGGGTGCCAACCCTGGAAATACCATTATCAAACCCAAAACTTCCTTCTTCCTCCATGAGACGTGCCTTTGGAAGGAATTCACATAAACGAGAAGATATACGATATATACAACATGCATACTTCTCCACTAACAATATGACGATTTATCGCCTTTCCAAGGTTGTTTCTTCTTTCAAGTTGCTAAGCTGTCCAAAGTTAGCTGATGATGATGCTTTTTTTCTTTTAAAGTAGGAACCACGTTTCATTGGAATGCAAAAAAGGATGAAAAGCCTTGAAGTAGAAAATCAATAGAGATCGGACAAAAAATTAACCCATTATTGAGTCTAGATCAGTAAAGCTTTGATATCACCAATCTTGGAAAGCATCCTATGCATTGTATATGTCTTCTAATCGCACTTTTAATTATCCGTCACGCGAGGAAAAGCATGACAAAAAAGGAATGCTATACAACCTGTTTCCTCCCAAAACCATGTAATCGGACAATACCCAACAGCCAGAATCATAGACTCCATGTTGATGCTGATTATTGGAAATTGTTGAAAGATGCTATGTTCATTGACATGAATAGATACGAAGAGACCGAAGCAAAGAGGAAGAGGAAAATCCATGAAGGCTCAAAAGAAGTTCAATAATAGCTGAAAAATGCATTTGAAACTACAATAATCACAACCGTTCCACCTCTTTCTCTTTGCATTCAATGACCACCTCGGCTCCTCTCTTCTCGAGAATCCATACATCCATTATCAGGATATGGACAGTTATCTCTCAAGCACAGGTTTAGGTTCAGCCTCAATTAGAAAATAAAACGGAGCACCTAACAATATATCTTCACAGACCAAGAACTACGAGATCGCCCCTTTCATTCTGGGGTGACGGATGGATCAGATCATTCAAGCCTTTTTATTTCATGCTTTTCTCGGAGGTCTAGAGAAACCTCCAATCAATAGGATTTTCTTAATCCTCCCTTCCCGAAAGCAAAAGGAAGAATGTGAAAGTCTTTTTTCTTTCTTCCGCAAGGACCAGGAGAAAACTTTTATCAATGACAACAATTTATTTGATAATCCGGTAAAAACAGTACCACGTTCTCATTTCCATAGCAGCGTAACTCAAAAACAACTAATAAGATTCAGCAAAACAATATTAAACAAGAATTAAAAGTAGACATATAAGCCCCAAAGCACAGTAAATTGTAATGGAAGTGTACATAGAACACTCAAAAACAACTAATTCCTTATTTTCTTGACAAAAAAGAAATCAATTACATCTATATATTATCAAAAGAGAGAATTTGCATAAAAGTGAAAAAGGAAATGAACTATGAATCACCTTGAAGCTCACACCTCTCAATATATGCTTTTCTCCAAAGGACTTGTAGACATTTCTACACTCAATGAGAACATCAGACTCGTCCTCGTCCTCGTCCTCGTCCTCATTATCTCGGCTTAAATGTTCCGATGTAAACGAGTCCTGATAATATAACCATTGTTAAATATGAACCATATCAGACAAAACATAAATATATCAATTTGAGTTCATAAAGTAAGGGGAGACCTATTGTTTACAATGAACACAAAGACAGAACAGATATACTAAACAATTAAAGATTTCAACTAAATTATGAAAATCGAACACAATCACAGCAATTCAAATACAGCGAAGCTACCAATTCAAGGAACACGGAGAACACACAAAGAAATAAGTAAAAAAGTGAATGATGTACATTGAAATTTACGGTAGATGATCCATCACTCTTGAAGAAAGGGGGAGGCGCAATGCAATTACAAACAATCCTTCTCTGATCCTTTTTCTTCAAACAAAACGAATTGTGATTATCAAGAACAGCTACTTTACGCGATCGAGATGAACAATCGGGCACTGTTAATGGGAAGAACACCGAACCCGATATAGAAACCATGTTCCTAAGATTAACCCGTAAAAGGGTAAGTGAATTTTGAGATTTTGAAGCTGAACCACGATACAATCGGTCCAAAATCAGCCTCCAACGCACTTTATAGTATCAACGCAATCGAAAATTCACAAGTTTAAAGAAACCTAAATAGGATTATGAGCAAAAACCCCCCTGGGTTACCAAATTCTGCATCGAAATAAACACGAAATGCAGCAGAACTCGCCGAGAAAAGATTTGGAAAGATGAAGAAACGAGATGGGAATGTACAGAAACTTTGTAGATTGAAAAAAACCCACTTAAAATCAATACCCCGTCGTATCCTGGGCGTTGATGTGAAGAACCGATGAGGCGTTACCCTTGTACGACCTCGTTTCCCTTCAATTGTTTACCCTTGTTTTCTTGGCATTATTGGTTTTGGCTTTAAAAGTTCTTTACATCATTATCACACGCTTCCCTCTCTTCATTATAATAATCAAGAGACTCCCAATTTATCTAATTATTGTCTTAAATTACTTGTTTGTTCTAATTCTTGTTCTTTCTATAAGAGTGTACCATTTTCTTTGTTTCTTCGCTCAAAATGTTAGTTTTTGATTTTCTTTAGTTCTAATTGAATTGATTTCATAAATTCTATAATTGAATTGAATTCAATTTTTATGAGTACATAGAGTTCAAATTGTTAAATCAATTTTCGTAAGTGATGTTTTTAAGCGTCAAGGATGGTTGGTGCACTCAACCAAGCTTTGATAAGGTATTGGCAAAGGTAAAGGCAGAGAGAAAGAGAGCTTGCCAAAATTATTTCCTTAGGAGATCGAGAGAGGAGACAATTCAACTGAGAATGACAAGAGATGCTTTAATATCCCACATTGGTTGGGGAAGAAAACGAAACACCCTTTTTAAGAATGTGGAAAAGGGTGTAGAAACCTTTTTCATATTAACGCATTTTAAAAACCTTGAAGGGAACCCCGAAAGGGAAAGTCTAAAAAGGACAATATCTACTAGCAGAGCTAGACACCAGACTATGTACCAGCGAGGAGGTTGTTCCCCGAAGGGGTAGACACGAGTCAGTGTGGATTTGCCCACATCGATTGGAGAAAGGAATGGGTGCTAGCGAGAACGTTGGGCCCTAAAGAGGGTGAATTGTGATATCTTACATTAGTTGGGGAGGAGAACATAACACCCTTTATAAAAGTGTGGAAAAGCACGTGGAAACAGCTAGTGGACTTGGACGTAGAAACACCCTTTATATAAGGTACTAAATTGTTTCTAGTTTTGAAGTGTTCTTGTTAGTATAATGAGATGTTAGTGAACTTATGATTGGTTGTTCGGTACATACCACTTTCCAAACTCTCAGCGGAAGTGAAGCAGTGATAATGGATTTGATGGGCATGGAGAAGGGCTATGCTTGGGTTAATGGACTAAGTATCGGAAGGTATTGGCCAAGTTATCTTTCAAATGAGAATGACTGCTCTTCAAATTATGACTTCCGTGGGGCTTACTCTAATGGCAAGTGTGCCACTAACTGTGGAAAGCCTACTCAAAGATGGTATGTTCTTGAGGAGTTCTTGGATTTTGAACTCTCTTTTCGACAACCTACAACTTTTAGCTCAAATGAAAGTGTTGTTTTTTTTTTTTTTGAACTTTTAGGTACCATATCCCAAGATCTTACTTGAATTATGGGGGAGAGAACACACTAATTTTATTCGAAGAATTTGGTGGGAAGCCATTGGATATAGATATCCAAACAACGCGGGTGAAAAAGGCATGTGCAATGCCTTATGCAGGAAGCACGTTGGAGCTATCGTGCCATGATCGAACCATCAGTGATATCAATTTTGTGAGCTTTGGGAACCCCGATGGCACTTGTGACAATTTCCAGAAGGGTTCCTTCGAGTCATCCACTACCTTATCAGTCATCGAGATGGTATAACTCGTTTTTGTTAAATGGATGATACTCTGGGTTTTGGGTTTTTTTTTTTTTTTTTATGATGAGTTTGTTTGAATTTTGATTGAAAATGCAGGCATGTCTTGGACAAAGGGAATGCTCGATTGAAGTTTCGGAAAACAATCTTGGATCAACTGGTTCCAAGTAACGTAATCGGCTTGCTGTTCAAGTTACTTGTTGGAACATTCTTGATTTTTAGGTTTCCCCTTCCTCTTCCTCTTCCTCTACCTCTTGAAGAACTAAACTCGTGCGAATCGAAATTGGACAGGTAAAGACAAAGTTATGGCAGTTGAGAGAATTGACCGTAAGATGATTTCTTAGTATAAATAGTTATTTTTAAATATCTTTTGAAAGGGTATTCAAGCAAGTTATTTTATTTTATTATTATCTAAATTTTACAAAATATTCGTAAATTTTAAGGTAGATTTTTGTGATGTAAATTTAATTCTACTTTTTTAAGGCATGAAATTACAAAGTGAGATATTCATCTAAATTCATAAGAAAATTTGTCTAAGATGGATTAAAGAAATTTATGGATATCTGTTCAGCTTGGTTTGGATTATTCTTTGAAATCATCCTTCTCACTGGTAAATCATCTTTTTCTTCGTTTTCTTCTTGGGCATTTTCCTTCTGGTCTTCCTCTTTTTCAATGAAAAATCATCTTTCTCTTTAAGAGCGGTTTGGTTTAAGACAGAGGAACCAAACATTTCTTATAAGGATGTGAAAATCTCTACATTTTAAAACCTTGAGGAGAATCATAAAAGGGAAAAACCCAAAGAGAATAATATGTTATCTATGGGCTTGAGCTGTGTTATACATGGTATCAATGCATGACACTAGGCTGTATTCCAATAAGAATGTTGGATCTCCAAGATGTGGATTGTGAGATCCAACATTGGTTGGAGAGAGAAACAAGACATTCCTTGTAAGGGTGTGAAACCTCTCCCTAACACGCATTTTAAAACTTCGAGGGGAAACAAAGAAGAAAAACCAAAAGTGAACAATATCTGTTATTGGTGAGCTTGGGCTATTATAAATGGTACCAAAGCTAAACATCATGCAACGTAACAACGAGGACGTTGGGCCTCCAAGAGAAGTGGGTTGTGAGATCCCACATTGGTTGGAGAGGGGAACTAAACATTCCTTATAACGGTGTGAAAACCTCTCCGTAACGGACTCGTTGTAAAAGGGTTACACAAACTACCCCATATTCATATCTTAAACATTGATGAATCATCATATAATGATGAAGAAAACAAGAAGATTTAAGAAAACTTATGCGGAGTGTGACAGTGGCTGCAAAGCTGAATTTAATGAGAAGGCCATTGGACTTTGATTTTTCATAAGAGCACCAAGCGATACCTGTGCCTGTATCTTTCCTTGTACACCTTGATCTTATCAACTTCCTATGTTATTCAACACAGACCTCAAATATAAAGTATATTAGAAAATTGTACGTCGATACATCGATGAAGCTAGAACTGAAATAATAATAAAAAAAGAAAAATATTGTATTCATCAACTGGAGCAAAAGGATTAAGACATATGGAGAAGGCGTCTAACTGAAAAGCCACGTTTAGTATTTGAGACAATCAGAGCTCTACTTTGATGAAAATGTTTGTGGAAAGCCTTCACTGCACCTTCTACGCCATCTTCGCTTCCTATGGCCTTAGACAGTTCCACAGCCCTCTGTTTTACCTGTGCAATCAGCCCGTCCCAGAAAAATAAACAACTTCTTCTATGAAGTCATATGTTCAAATTCAAGTAAGACGATGAAAAAGAGCTCATGTTTCGACTCTTTCTTCCGAGCAATATGCACATTTTCACATATTTATGATATCGAGAGCTTGGTTTTTACCTTTCTATCAGTTGCAACATAAATAACATGCCTTAGCTTATTAGTCAAATCAAGAAATCAGTGTGCTATACTATTTATTAACGAAGGCTTAGGCTTCTAGGGGACCAGCTGAACATGAGGGACTCCTTTCAAAGATATGGGCACTGATCGATTTGAATTCTAAAGGCTCTTGTCGGGAAGAATTTCATCGAACATCTTAAGTGTTTGATGGGCAAGTCTCGATAGTCTCAATTAGTCTCAATTACAAGGACCAAAATGATAACTTTGTATTAACTCAAATATTAATTTTAGAAGTCTCTAAAAGTTGACAGAAGTAGCTAAAATACCTTGGGTTCAAGCATAAAGTTTATGGCATCAATCAAACTTTCAAGCGAAAACTCAGCTATTGGGATAGGCGGGGGACCAAGTCCCCTTGCATGCACACGGTCTCCCCAAAATTGCTGATCACCGAAGATCGGCACAATTGTTGTTGGACACTGAAAAAACATAAACAGGAACAAGGTTGAGATCCGACATTATGCATAACAACAGTGTCAAAAAAGATAAAGAGGAATGGTGAGAATTTACAGCAGCTTTGAGACCAGCTGCAGTTGTTCCAGCACCCCCATGGTGTACCTGAATAGTTTTTAGAGACCACAATCACCAAGTATAACATGAAAAAAATGCTATTTTTAGATTGATCAACACTCGTACACAATAGAGAGATAGAGAAAAGGAAATGCATTGTATGTTTAAGTTTATATTGTTCAACATTTCATTATTTGCAACGAGCTGAGCTTTCACCGAGTAAAATGAATGTAGTCAATGAAAGAATGTACCAGAAACAGCTGACCCACAAAGAATCCCAACACTAACTACAAGAAGCGACGCCAATCTAGAAGAATAAGACTAAACTGATAATTATGAAAAGCTTGATGAACAGATATCCATAAATATACATTAAACCTACCAACCTGACCACCTTTCAACCCCTCCAAACAATCATGCTATTCCTCTCAAGACAAAGACAACAACCATGCCAAGTTGTAATTTAGGAACTTGAGACAAGTCCAAGATGTTGCGATGGACAAAAAAACTGTCCACAAAGTTGCAAAAAATTAAGGATAGCACTTAAAAACTTTACCACAGCCATGCATCTCGGAAATAGCCAATCGTGAGGACAGTTATCAAGCACGTACACGAACTCTTTTGGCTCTGCCACTAGATATACAGAACCATGTGCCTTCCATCAGTCAAGCATTGGAAGCCACGTAACATATATATCTTTTTTCTATTTCATAAATGAACCGGCAAAAGAGAAAAAGGATAGCAATATTAAACTAACAGTTTCCAAGACCACCCCAGCCTTTATTGATTATTCCTCTCCTTCCTGTAATGTTCAGAGCTTCAACTATGATCTGTGTCATTTCTTGTGGTTGTTCAACAGGCTGCATCAAACTCAAAATTGAAAAAATAGATGGATAATTTCATCCTTTCATAATTGTTTATAGCGTAACTGAAACTTAAAACATTTAAAATACTAGAAGATCAAAAAGGTTGAAAATAGAACTCACAAGGCTGCCAAATCCAATATAAATGGGCATTTCACCAGCTTCTAACCATTCCACAAGAGAACTTGGGGGTTGATAATTTGAAGCAAGGTCAAGGAAACAAAATCCAACTACATCAATTTTAGGCCCCCAATCTGAAACAATGAGAAAAGAGTTTCATTAAAACAAGGAGTACGAATGGGATCATCAAGTACCACATGAAGTAACAGAATTCCCAAAGAACAGGAAATGATAGCAGCAAGAATTTATAAACAACAAATCCTGGGAAAGGGAGGAAATAAGGATGGATGTCATACTGTCAATTCACTACTTAAGCTGCAATTATGTTCCTTAAAATTTTAGTAGTCCATACTTAAGCCTTGGAAGGGGTGTGGCAGGACCTAAGTGCTTCTTAAACAAGTAATAGCCAGACTTTGGATAAAACAACTATAAAAAGAAAAAAGAAAAGAAAAAGAAAAAAAGAAAACCTACAAATATCTGAAATAAATAAGAAATGAGGAAAAAGGAGCGGGGGCTGATGAATAATCTAGAAAAGGAGTAGCTCTTTCTTTGATTGGATACGAGAATCCCCTTCTCAAAGGATTTGAAAGGCTTTCGATTCTGAAAACATACACAAGGGGTAACAAGAAAAATGAATCAGACAGCCAGTTAGCTTGTGCGCATAGAATACTTGGGAGGGGGATGTGAATAGGAAGGGTGCATTATCATATTGGTGGAGTCGAAGAAATAAAAGGAAAGGTTTGGGGCTGCTGAAAGATGAAGAACTGAAAGAAATGAAGGTTGCATTGCGAAGATCACCTTCCAAGGATTCCACAATTAATTCAACGGGCGAAATTAAGAGGGTATTTGGTATTGAATCTGAATTTGATTTTATGATTTACAAGAAGTGAGGTACACTCTCCCTCTCACTCCATCTCTATCAACTCTGGTTCTGCATGTGTAGTCTTCAAAAATTTACCCACTGACTTGTTCTTTATCTCTCTATTCCCACAACTGTAGTGATTCAAACCCTTCATGCTTAATTCTGACATGATGTACCTACTGGGAGTCTTTAGATAAAGCAAAAATTTCAAACTTCCAATCTAAATTTAAGTACATTTAGAAAATCTGGAACTTTAATGTTCAAGATACTCCGGCAGAGATTAATAAGAAAATTTTGCTGGCCTTCATAACTATACTTTAGATTTTAGTCTGCTTGATTGGGGTCATTCTTGTAGTTTGCCTCCTTTTGTGGGCTCTTTTTTTGTATGCCTAGTGTATTCTTTCATATTCTCAATGAAAGCTTGGTTTCTTATTAACAAAAATGTGTATGCATACATAAAAGGAGAAACAAATAGAATTTGTTAGAATAAATGCAAGAAAAGAAGAAAGGATCAAGCATGTGAAATAGAATTTTTTTTGGGGTGGAAACATTACTAAAAATAATATTATCTTTCAGTTATGCTATAGCCATCTTATAAATATCACCAGAAGTGATTTTACCTTTGGGCTTTGGAATAAGGTGAGGACTCCATATATAACCATAAGGCACCTCCGGAAGACTGCTGTACTGTCCAGTAAGATAGGATATTCGTCTCAGTTTCAATTTTTTCCTCCTGAAGCTATTTATAATGTCACGAATTCCGAGCCAAATTAGAGTATCAACTACGTTATATGACAACTGCCAAAAGAGAAAATATTTACATGTATTAAAAAAAGAAAGAAAAACAAAAGTCCAACAATTGAGAACCATCAGGAGTAAATCACCTTATTTCCCATATGATGCTTGACGTTGGCTAGAGGATGAGGAAAATCACTGGTGGGCCTGAAAAAATGGTGCTGATGGTTACTGCATAATCCAATGGAACAATTGTGCTTTTCAAATGGTGTATTAATTAATCATAGATCATAACTTTGATCTCTGGCATAACATCATCATGCAGATGAAAAACCATCAATACTTCTTTGATGTTAATTTTAAAGGGGGAGGAGGATAGGAGGACATTCCAGGGATCGCACAGTAATTCAGCTTTTGGTGTTAATCCTTAATAACACTGTAACAACAAAAACTCTTGAATTGATTGACCGTCTAGTCTTTACTAGAATAATTCATCCAGTTAAAAAGGAAGTTAAAAATTCTAAAGTTTAAGTTATTTTTTAAATTTCATATCTCCAATTCATAACCTTTCTAGATTGTCGGGGATACAAAATTTAAAACAACATGGCTGACTTATCAGTTTTCTAAGAACCAAGAGTGAAAGCAAGGGGAGCTTTAAGATTTTCCACTATATTGGAAAGGATTAGATGTGGACCCAACTAATCTCATTTAAGATCAACATGGATTTAATGAAAATTCTTGAGGAAGGACTCACCACCTTTGTTTCTTGAATAAGAACCATAATTGGGCTATGTTGTTGCAGCACTTTCTGTAAGCTAATTCTTTTTTAATAATACCCAAAAAAAAAAAAAAAATTATATTGATGCAAACTCCATAAATGAGTGAAATCAGACCCAAACAAAAAGTAATAAGGCCAGAAAAGGAACCCAAAAAGGAATCAGAAAATTGAAGATCAACTAATTAGACACCAAAATTGAAAGTTAAAGATTTATTCAATGTTGTTTCTGTAACTACGCTTGTAATTTAGAATAATACTATTTGAGAATTATGTACAGCTGGATCAATACAACACTTACGTCCATGGCATTGTGAAAAAGACATGAAGTGGCAATCTCAACGCCTCAGCAACTTGAGTATGACCTGAACAGTCAGTGAAGCAATTTAAGTTCATTAGATGATAGCCAATCAGAAAAAAAAAGGGGGGGGGGGGGGGGGGGGGG